ATGGCTCGATCGGGATGGTCTTGAGGAGTAGCATGGACTGTTTTGTCGGCGACATCTACAGCGCGGTTGAGATCGTCCATGGACCCAGTTTGCTCAAATCGCCTACTGAGCATACTGCCAAAATTGCTTAACCTAACCATTAGGTTGATCGATTCTTGTGGCGTCATATCAACCACTTGCTCCATGATGCTAACGGCCTTCTCTAAGTCCTCCATGTTGCCATTTCGCTCGTAGTTCTGTAGTAACCGGATCGCCGTATCGTTTTGATGTGTTATTAGAATGTCTACTTCATCAGACGTAGTCCTTTGGCTAATCCGCTCACTACACAGTCCAGGAGTGTTAGCAGAGTTCTCATTTACCTAAAAACATGTCTTTGAAGAAATTCGAGCACTATATCTTTATTCCAATATGTACCAGTATGGCTAAAACAGCTTCTTTCTACAAGAAATAGTTTCCATAAAATCTAACTTACCTATCTTCTATTATGGTGGGTAGTAACTCCTTAGAAATGTATGTGTGTTCGCACATCCTGGCCAACATCATGTCCAAAATCTGAAAGCGCCGAGCGCGATCAGGATCGTCAGGACCTGTTACCGCTACCCATCCTTCCGCTCGCTGAATTGCTTGTTCAAGATATTGTGTCGAGAGCGTTCTCGTGAAGAGAAGCAAGCACGTGAAGACGTATAATTCGATTTGCACATCGTTTACCGGATCTTCGTGGAGCTCCGCGAAAGAGCAAAGGTCTTCGTTGCTCATTTCATGTAGCGAACTGGTTATTTCTGGCTCAACATGGAACAGCTCCGTATTTCCGAGACCGCTTGTAAGAACGCCATAACTGCTGTTAGCGATGACGTTGGATGAGCTCGCCGTTCCGCTCGCCATGTTATCTTCACTAAGAGTTAGTATCTGGTTGCCATGCTTCGGCGCGTTCTAGGATGAATTTTACCGCGAACTTCCGAGAATATTTCTTCCATCCTTTCTAGTACCGTGCGGTCTTCAAGTATATTGATGTAGGGTTTGCTAACATTGGTCCTGCTATTACAGTTGTTTGTTAGTCCTCTGCAGACGCAAGTTCCGGGGGGAAATCGCATCCGGCACGCCTTGCGGATGCCGGCATCGGGTGTTTGGCCTTTAGGTTCGAGAAGTAAGCCTCGCTGTAGGCCTTGGGCTCCCCGGATAATCTCAGACGTTGCGCTGCCGCAAACGCGCTTTGTAATTGGATGCTCCCTTTCGGTAAGCTCACCGGTCGACAGGGGTATTCTGTGCCACTATTCAACAGTTGGAATCTCCTGCGTTTACCGAAGTCGCTGGATGTAAATTTAGTTCTCCAGCGATTAGAAATGCAGTCTCTGCTCCTTACTGATTTGCGCAGGACTCGTTGTTTGCATAGCATGCGAGACGTGGCGGGGTATGTATCGTGATCCAACTAACCGGTGAAAAAAAATTGCGAACTGGCTGCATTTGGTGACTGGTGGCGCTTCTCCGCTTCACTCATTGGGCAGGCAAATTAAACATTTAGATTAAACTCCAAGGCTACTCTCTACCGATTGTGGTGAGAAGTCAGCATCGCTGTGCTAAGGTATCTTTCCAGGCTACCTCTGCTCACCGGTCAACAGGCGCATTCCGTGCCACTGCTACACGCGGAGCCTTGTGCATGAGGGTCTACCGAAGTCACTAGGCGTAGTTCCCTGGCGAATGGAAATGCGATCTCTCCTCCCTGCTGGCCTGCAGAGGACTCGTCGTTTGCATGCAAGCGAGACGTGGCCGACTGTGTATCGCTAGCCCTCCCTTCCGCCCACCGGTGAAGAACCTTGTGCATGAGGGTCTGTCCAGGCCGTGGGGCGCAGTTTCTAAGCAAGTAAAAACCCGGTCTCTGCTCCACGCTGCCTTACGCAGGGCTCGTTGTTTGCTTTCGCGAGCGACACGTGGCGGGGTACGTGTCGCTGTCCAAACACTATTCTGTCCGGCCGACCGGTGAAGAAATTTTGGCTGGCTTGGCAACCCCGCTGCATTTATTCTAGCTCCGATTGCACCCGATGACTCGTCACCGGTGACCCCTTACCAACAGCAGCGTCCTACTTAATAGAGCTAAGTACTGGTAGTCTAGCTCTAGTAGACTCTAGAAGTCTAATATATTAATAATTTACCTTTAGTGCTATAACTACTATTATCTATTATATTAACTTAGAAATTAATATAGCTATTAAATCTTATAGTGTAATAACCTACTAGGCAGGTATAATTAGTATTAATTACTATCCTAAACCCGAAGATAAATATCTTAATAGCTGTGTTTAAAATATAATAATTATTAAGCTCTTCCTTAAAACAGGCAAACCTAATACAAATATAGCTATTTTTACTGCAACAGCTCCTATAAATCCTAGCGTTGGTTATCTACTAGAAAAACTAGAAGTATAGCCGATATATAAAAACTTTATTTCTAGCTTTTACAGGGTAATTAATATAGTAAAAGGCGGAGACTTTATCTATATTTACTACTCTAGATATAGAACGCGATTGCTAAGCCTTATATAATCCGGCTATAGTAATATTTTTAAACTTGCTTTAGTTCTGCTATTAGAAGATAGTAGGAAAAGCAGATATTTTAGAGGTTAAACTTTAGCAATAGCCCTAAATAAAATAGTTAAAAAGGGACTTTATATTATACTTATTCTTAATTATTGCTTTTCTAGAAGTATAGTATATAATAGTAATTAGTATAAGTTTAATATCCGATGCATTAATTATAACCTTATTATTAATACTATTAGCCTCTAGGAGTATAGCACAGGCTTATTTAATATAGCTAGCACTTTACGCAATTCCTTAATAAAAAAAGACTAGCTTTTTACTTCTAATAGCTATAAAATCTTCTTAGTATACGCTTTTTATAAAAAAGCTTATAAGCTTAAAATATAAAATAGGATATAAGGTACTTTTACTTATTTTCTCCTTAATACTTTTAGTACTTTAAGAAATAGAGGTATAGAACTTATATACTAATCTATATATAAGTACCTTAGTATAAGGTTCTATATCTCCTAGCTATTTAAGAGCAGGATATATATATAGTATCTGCAAAAGTAATAAATACGCCGTATATCCGTTTAATACCCCTAAGCACGCCTAAAATTAGGAGGAAAAGGCACTTCTAAATATGCGAGTTAATACTACTCGAGCCTTTAAATTAGAATTAATAGAGATTAACCTAATATTAGGCCTATAGTTCTAAATAGGCTAGAAAGCAAAGCTACTTACTAGTCTTTCTCTTTAATATATTTTAGTAAAACTTCTAGCAAGTATTAGCAGCACTAGTTAATTAGAAGAAATAGTAAAGAGACTACGTTTTATACGCCTTTTTATAGAGTACTAAATAAAGGAACTATATATATTTAGCGTAATTATTAATAAGTATAATATATATAAAGTAGTTAACGCTTTATATAATAAAGTAGCCTATATTCTAAATATATTATATAGCTTAGATAGATTAATAAAAGCTCTTATAGATATTCTATAATAACTTGCAATATTTAAGTACTTTAAGGGAGTAATAAATTAGCTGTCTAGTTTAAGCTTTAAAGAGTTATTTAAACTTACTTCTAAAATTCCTGCTAGTAAATTTAGAGTATTCTATATTAAGTATAATATAAAATAGGAATTTATAGTTAAGAATAGTAGTAATAAGCTGTTATACTTAGCTATATTTAACTTCGCCCCCTTTTAGTAAATTAAAAACCTTATTTCTAGATTAGGTGGAGGTGGTTATAAAATTATACTACTAAGAAATAAAGGAATAAATAGTAGGCGGGTAATAGGGTTACGGATAAAGGTTCCTAAGTTCTTTTAGAATTGCGGTAAAGGTTAGTATAAAGATATTATTAAGAAGCACCTTAGTTATTACCCCCCCTTTCTTTGCGTATTACCCCCTTTTTCTCTGCGTGTCACCCCCCCTATATTAGGCCTAGCTCCGGCCCGTATAAATATTGTTCCACCAATCAAACTCACCCGCTTGCCTCCGTATTAACTGCGTAAAATAGAGAGTATGCATTACAAAACGGAAAAGCTATATTATAGGCTGCATTATCTAGGCTAATAGGAGTCTATTCGCTCTATCTACTCTAGCTACTCTACTCTAGCTACTCTACTTTAGCTACTCTACCAGCGGAAAGCGCCTAGATGGCCACTACTGTCCAATTGCTGGCTAAAAGGAACGCCAACTACACCTGTATACCAAGGCCTTACAGCTATTACTTTACCACAAACAGCCTCCTCCTTAGGCGTGCATATAGGGGCATCCTTAGGGGCTGGTTGGCTGTCGGGGACTAAGGAAATAGAGCTCTAAGTAGCTGTTAGAGTGCCTGCTTGTCCGGCGGAGCGATCTGGCGCTGTAGTTGTAAACTGTACAGGATTGTTGAGCACTACAATGGTCTGCTCGACCGCCGGCGTGCCTGTAGAGACACCTGCTATAGTAATTTAGGTGGCCTGTGTCGCAATCTGCATCGATTAAGTTGGTTCCTGTCCACCTACAACACTATCTGCTCGCTCTGCACGAGCAGTAGTCTTATAAGCTCGCCGGAGATGCGACGTTCCTCCACGTGATCCTGGCCCTCCACCACGCTGTCGTGCTCGCTGCGCCGGAGCTTGTTGATCAACAATTTCGAATTGAGATGGATCACGTCGAGTTGCATCAGCAGGTGCACGAGCACGGCCACGGCCACGGCCACGGCCACGGGTTGATTGACGAGGTGCAGCAGGGCCCGTTGGCCTGCCTTTACGACGCTGTACAATTGCCGGAGCCTCGATGAGGAGGAGAGGATCGATAGGAAGGTTTACCTCGTTTGGAACGGGACGATTAAACCACCAGTGCTGATGAACATCCTCCAGGACAACAGTATACGTAGATGTCGCTGTAGCGTACAGTTTTCGGTGTATTTCGTGACAGCAAGGCATGCCGTATGTCCCCCTGAATGTTCCATTGCAAATAGGATTGAAATCGTCCTTCTTGGCCTTCTTGACTTGGGCAGCGAGTAGCCTCAGGCCCTGCTCAGTAACCTGCCGAAGAACCCCAGCAAACTCAGGAATCCTAACCTTATGCTGAGGAGCTCTACGCTGCCGGCTAAGCTAATTCTTTCTCTTAACACCTTGGCGGTGAATGTATTAAGATAGTAGGGTGACTACGTTATAGAGGTCGCCTGTCGAGATCTGAAGATAGGACTTAATACTGCTGTTTAAGCCCTTTAGCCGCGAGGTTATAGTATTACTAAAGTGCGGTAGAAGGCCCGTATAGTATATTGCAATCTGCTGTTAAAAAGGCCACTACTTTTTAGTAAGGTAGTCGACCAGGGCTTTCTTATATGCATAATCCGATTAAATCTTATTCTAAGCGGCTATAAACTTAGCCTCTGTAGGTTTTAATAGGCAGAAGTTAAGCTTATTAATAAACCTCTTCCGATCTCTCTAAATAATATTAATCTTAGCTACTATTAGCACTTAAGAGGCACGTGTTGGGTTCTCTAGATCTATTATATCTGCTAATGCTTGCTTTTTATCCTTCTAAACAGTAACAGCCTTGCTGGTAATATTCTTCTGCACATGCTACTTGCACAGGATTTAAGGAATAAAAGGAAAGAACTTAGTTAGTGTATTCTTAAGTGCAAGCTCTTTATCCGTAATAAAAACGCCTAGTAAAACGCCTAGGTGCTGGCATACTAGGTAAAGCTCCTACACGGCAAAGATATAGTCCTTTTCTTCCTCCCCTAGAAGAAAATAATAGCCTAGCTTGTAGTTCCTGCCCT